ATGTTTGTATATTTGGGCAGCAGGCGTTCCTATAAACATATTTGGTCAAATATGCCCGCAGCGCTGGCCATGTTGGTCTCACACAGTAAGCTTCCTATGTTTCTATCTCCTTAGTATCAGTATGGAGAACTATCAAGTTACCAGAATTCACGGTGAGGAAACTCTGATAATTATCGAGGAATTTGGTACAACGTTTCGTTCCTCTCTGGAACCTGGTCCGGTAGAGAATGAGTACACAAGGAAGAACACAGGGGTCTCTACACATGAGCAAGGAGGAAGGGAGTGTGAGGAGAGGTGATGAGGACAAACAAACAGTGATAGATGTAAGAAACAAGACTTGTGTGGTAAACTCACTCACACACACTCACACACACACACACACACACACACACACACACACACACACACACACACACACACACACACACACACACACACACACACACACACACACACACACGTTATTCTGACTGACAGAGCATATATAAAGAATTGCATAGAAGTCTTCAAGTATAAATAAATCATAGATACACAAATATAGAAATAATAATATAAAACACCCACATCAGCATGTTTTAAGGAAAATGGTATAGCCGAGAACAACAAACAGCCTCCCCCATAAAACTCTATTAGAAATCCACCATGACAAAGCATTATAATACAGAAGAACGAATTATCAAAAACATAATTTCATATGGAGTGAAACCGAGAGCCGCAGACCAAAGATTGCACTTCATTATCTACTAAACAAAGTGGATTTGGCTTTAATACTCAAGAAGAGCCCCCGATAAACAACGCAACTCTCTTCAAACAACAAACGCGGTGTACTAGTTGACACGAGCCAATGAAGGATGTTATCTTCAGTCAACTTCGGTCATAAGTAGTTAGCCAAAATAGCAGGTATAATCAGGGAGTCAAAATATAGACAACTGTGGACAATACTCTGCAGCTGGTGATAGTGGACTGATATATTAAGATAATAATATTACTGCTGCCTCCCTCCATATCTCTTCTCACCCTTAAACATGTTGTACGGTAATTATCCCTTCAGGTACATGGACTGATAAATTAAAACAGGCGTGATGAGGACTCACGTGTGTGTGTGTGTGTGTGTGTGTGTGTGTGTGTGTGTGTGTGTGTGTGTGTGTGTGTGTCACAGATATGATAGAGATAAACAGGTCGAGGATAATCTTGTAGTTACTAAGCATCACTGTGGAGATGATTGGGGATACTGGCGGAGGTACTAATGTTGGACACGCACATAAGTGCGGGTTCATCGGAGTGGGTATATGGGGAGCGGGTACATGGACGGGTGTACATATGAGCAGGAACATGGAACATGTGAGTCTCTTGTCACATGTGGGTGTAGGATGCTCCGTCACCATGACAACCTCTCGAAAACATGGACACCGTCTGCTGCTCTGTACTGCATGTAAACGCTTCACCCACGTACTACATGTACAAATAATCGCCAACAGAACCTAAACACCTAACCTACCCTAACCTAACCTACCCTAACCTATCCTACCCTAACCTAACCTAACCTAACCTAACCTAACCTAACCTACCCTAACCTAACCTACCCTAACCTATCCTACCCTAACCTAACCTAACCTAACCTAACCTAACCTAACCAAACCTAACCTAACCTAACCTAAACTAACCTAACCAAACCCAACCTAACCAAACCTAACCTAACCTAACTTAACCTAAACACCTAACCTAACCTAACCTAACCTAACCTAACCTAACCTAAACTAACCTAACCAAACCCAACCTAACCTAACCTAACCTAACCTAACTTAACCTAAACACCTAACCTAACCTAACCTAACCTAAACACTTAACTTAACCTATGCCTATATGTGCACAATATACTAATATATTATAACATTAGTTTATATTTGAGAAAACTCCCGTTTTGAATGAACAGCGTGTAAAAATTTATGAATGCTTCTGTGGGATCGACCACTAGATGGAATGGACTGCACAACCAGGACACCATAACAACGTTACTTTACGTTGTTGGGACGTTATAACACAGTAACAACGGTGCTGGGAGGTTGTAACACAGTAACAGCGGTGCTGGGGACGTAACACAATACCAACGGTGCTGGGAACGTTGTAATACAGTAACACCGGTGCTGGGGACGTTGTAACACAATAACAACGGTGCTGGGGACGTTGTAACACAGTAACAACGGTGCTGGGAGGTTGTAACACAATAACAACGGTGCTGGGAGGTTGTAACACAGTAACAACGGTGCTGGGAGGTTGTAACACAGTAACAACGGTACTGGGGACGTTGTAACACAGTACCAACGGTGCTGGGAGGTTGTAACACAGTAACAACGGTGCTGGGAGGTTATAACACAGTAACAACGGTGCTGGGATGTTGTAACACAGTAAAAACGGTGCTGGGAGATTGTAACACAGTAACAACGGTGCTGGGGACGTCGTAACACAGTAACAACGGTGCTGGGAACGTCGTAACAGTAACAACGGTGCAGGGGACGTCGTAACATAGTAACAACGGTGCTGGGAGGTTGTAACACAGTAACAACGGTGTTGGGACGTTGTAACAGAGTAACAACGTTGCTGGGACGTCGTAACACAGTACCACGGTGCTAGGGGCATTGTAACACAGTAACAACTGTGCTGGGGACGTCGTAACACAGTATTAACGGTGCTGGGAGGTGTAACACAGTAACAACGGTGCTGGGACGTTGTAACACAGTAACAACGGTGCTGGGGACGTTGTAACACAGTAACAACGGTGCTGGGAGGTTGTAACACAGTAACAACGGTGCTGGGAGGTTGTAACACAGTACCAACGGTGCTAGGGACGTCGTAACACAGTAACAACGGTGCTGGCAGGTTGTAACACAGTAACAACGGTGCTAGGGACGTCGTAACACAGTAACAACTGTGCTGGGGACGTCGTACCAGTAACAACGGTACTGGGAGATTGTAACACAGTAACAACGGTGCTGGGGACGTCGTAACACAGTAACAATGGTGCTGGGAGGTTGTAACGCAGTAACAACGGTGCTGGGGACGTCGTAACACAGTAACAACGGTGCTAGGGGTGTCGTAACACAGTAACAACGGTGCTGGGGACGTCGTAACACAGTAACAACGGTGCTAGGGGTGTCGTAACACGGTAACAACGGTACTGGGACGTCGTAACACGGTAACAACGGTGCTGGGACGTTGTAACACAGTAACAACGGTGCTGGGAGGTTGTAACACAGTAACAATGGTGCTGGGAGGTTGTAACACAGTAACAATGGTGCTGGGACGTTGTAACACAGTAACAACGGTGCTGGGAGGTTATTACACAGTAACAACGGTGCTGGGGACGTCGTAACACAGTAACAATGGTGCTGGCAGGTTGTAACACAGTAACAACGGTGCTGGGGACGTTGTAACATAGTAACAACGGTGCTGGGACGTTGTAACACAGTAACAACGGTGCTGGGAGGTTATTACACAGTAACAACGGTGCTGGGGACGTCGTAACACAGTAACAATGGTGCTGGCAGGTTGTAACACAGTAACAACGGTGCTGGGGACGTTGTAACATAGTAACAACGGTGCTGGGACGTTGTAACACAGTAACAACGGTGCTGGGAGGTTATTACACAGTAACAAGTGTGCTGGGGACGTCGTAACACAGTAACAATGGTGCTGGCAGGTTGTAACACAGTAACAACGGTGCTGGGGACGTTGTAACATAGTAACAACGGTGCTGGGACGTTGTAACACAGTAACAACGGTGCTGGGAGGTTATTACACAGTAACAACGGTGCTGGGGACGTCGTAACACAGTAACAACGGTGCTGGGATATCAGCTAATTAGTCTCGGCAATCATTAAGTTAGACAATTTGGGTTGTGGGTAGATTTTGGGTGTAACTTTGGATGCGGGATATTTTAGGTTCCAGTCATCATTGTTTCTAAAGCTGTAACAGATTTATGTTGATGTTGTTAAAGTTTCGCTACCTGGAACAAAGTTCCAAGTAGCACGGGCTATGGTGAGCCCGTAGGTAACAGATTTAGAGTAGAGAATATATGCTGGTTATATCGAGGGCCGTGCTGAGAGACAGACCCTGAGCGCGGGCAGCCCTTGTCAGTTATGGAACAAGTTTGGCACGGCCCAAGATGGGTGCTAATGTTACCTGCTGGCCTCCTGCTGGGGTCGTTGACGTCTACGAGGTGCTTACGACCCCCTCCCCCCCCCTGCCTCGTTGGAGGGACTCCCAAGTGACATCTGCTGACACATTAGCACTTGGTGGTGGTGTGTGTTGGGGTATGCCCCTTACAACGCTCCAAATACCCACATTACTGGGGTACGGACAGGGGTGGGTAGTTAAGGATTGGTGACCAGGCGAGCATCCATCCCGAACCCATACCAAGGAAACCCTTGGAGAGTGTGTTACCATTGCGCCACTAACGTCCTCTGGGCAACACGTCCTCTTAAAAATAACGTCGCTTTACGCTCGTATGCGCACTATAGCCAGATTTGGACGTAATTTGAAATGAAATCGACTCACAAAAGTGACGTACTGTTCCGTTTTCTGTTTGAGTCGTCCGGCTTACTCGGCAAGCTTAGTAAAGGAAACTTTCCATTAACGTTTTTCATACCGTTTTGAAACTTTATGAGAATTTCCTGCCCACCTAACCTATCAGAGGACCCTTAACTTACTGCTGAGAAAAAAACAATCCCAAATTTATATTAATTTTTTTTTAATTTTCAAATTACGTCCATATTCGGCCATACGGTCAAACGGGCCAAAAGCGACGTTCTTTTTAAGAGGCCAGGTAAGTGGTAGTGTTCATCATCACCCAGCTGTGTGCTACATAGCCTTCCCGGTTTGGTGCCTTCTATTGATAATTACTATAATATCATCACCCAGAGTGCGGTAGTGCCCAACCGTGTCCACTAAGCGTCAGGACGGAAGCAAACAGATCTAATCACTAACAAAAAAAAAAAATGGAAATGTTTTATTCATGTTTGGAATTAAATGTTATCGAGGAAGAAGTTGGTAGCCGCGTTAGTTCACATATGGCTAATGAGAGGAGGAGCCCCGGAGAAAACGGGCGACTGGCTAAACCAGTCTTCATAGAAAACGAGCGCATCGCTTGATCGATGGACCAGTATTGTTAACTTGAACTCTGTACATCTGTCCGTGCTGTCAACTGATCAGCGGTTATATCTATTCGTGCTTTGATCTATTAGGATATTTACGGTTTATCTATTAAGATGTTGCTGTTTGTAACCATTTTTCCCCTATGTAGTAAGTGTTGTTTTAATGTGTCGGAACGTTGTACTCACCTAATTGTGCTTGCGGGGGTTGAGCTTTGGCTCTTTGGTCCCGCCTCTCAACTGTCAATCAACAGGTCTACAACCAACTGTGTGTGTGTCTGTGTTTACTATTTGTATCTGCAGAATCGAGCTATTAGCGCTTGGACCCCGCCTTTCTAACCAATTTATTTTTCCTCTATTATGTCTACTACATATATTTATCTTACACACGGGCACACATCTCCAAGAAGCAGCCCTTAGCAGTTGTCCAAGTCCTAACCTATTTACTGCTAGGTGAACAGGGGCACCAGGGTGAAAGAAACTCTGCCCATTTTGTTTCTGCCTCTGCCGGGGATCGAACCCCGGGCCCTTAGGACTATGACCTCAGAGCGTTGTCCATTCAGCCGTGAGACCCCCGCGGCTCCGTGTGTACTCACCTATTTGTGTTTGCGGGATCGAGCATTGACTCTTGGATCCCGCCTTTCCAGCCATTGGTTGTTTACAGCAATGACTCCTGTCCCATTTCCCTATCATACCTAATATTAAAATTATGAATAGCGTTTGCTTCCACAACCTGCTCCTTAAGTGCATTCCATTTTCCCACTACTCTCACGCTAAAAGAAATCTTCCTAACATCTCTGTGACTCATCTGAGTTTCCAGCTTCCACCCATGTCCCCTGTGTGTGTGTGTGTGTGTATGTGTGTATGTGTGTGTGTGTGTGTGCCTATGTGTGTGTATGTGTGTATGTGTGTGTGTGTGTGTGTGTGTGTGTGTGTGTGTGTGTGTGTGTGTGTGTGTGTGTGTGTGTGTGTGTGTGTGTGTGTGTGTGTGTGTGTGTGTGCGTGCGTGCGTGCGTGCGTGCGTGCGTGCGCGTGCTTGCGTGCTTGCGTGCGTGCGTGCGTGCGTGCGTGCGTGCGCGCTCTTAGGGTTCGAGCTCATAGTCTTAGTTCTTGGACCTCGCATGTCTAGCTGGTGTCTAGTGCAGCGTCTCCTGCCTTATTCCTCTATCGACTCTACTGTTGAGACAGGGAGCGGAGGACGTTGCTACACCTGCTCATTTAGTACAGTCCATTTTCCCACTTCTCTTACGATGACAAAAAATACTTTAACATTTCTATGACTCATCTCATGCTCAAGCGTCCATCCTGCCCTCTTGTTCTGTTGTTATTCATTTTGAACGTCTCTTTTCCACTTTGTCAATCCCCTAAGTATTTTATGTCTATCATATCTCCTCTATCCAGTCTCTCGAACCGCCAGGTCTAGTTCTTTCAGTCTTTCTTCATACACCATCCTTCACAACTCTGGGATGAGCATCGTTGCAAATCTATGAACCTTTTCTAGTTTTCAAATTTTATTTCTTTTAAGATGAGGGTTCGATGATGGGGCGGCGTACTCTATGACTCATGTAGCCGGTGTAGGGTAATCTAAATGCCTTCTTATTCAGGTTGCTGAATTGTGTGCTGACTTTTGCTATTGAATATGTTGCAGATGTTATCCTGTTTGTGTGTGTCTCCCAAGTTAGGCTTGGTGATACATCCACTCCCAGGTCTAGTTCTCGGGTCATTACAGGAAGGTAGTTCCCTACAATGTGTACCCTCATTCCAGTCTCCCGCCACCTGTTCCCACTTCCATCACCTTACACTTGTTTGTGCTGAACTCTAATTGCCATTTCTTGGACCAACTCTGCAATTTGTCTAAGTTATCTTGGAGTATCTTACAATGTTCATGTCTTTACTCGGCCTGCACTTTTTATAAATTCTTAATTCTATTTTTGGTTGGTGTTCATAGAGGTCATAGAGGTTCTATCATTAATGTCTTGTAGGGCTCTTTCTTCCATTCTGAAAGCCATAGAAAAGAAGTTCCTGTAGAATAGTTCATTTGAAGAGGCCAATACGGTTGTGCTGGCCGTTTCATCAGCAGCAGCAGCATGGAGCTTCACCTTGATGTGATATCTTCGACATAACCGTTACTGAGTAACCTGACTTTACAGTTTCTCGACGTCAATCCCTGGAAACACAAACCGAAACTGTCTCTATTTTCCTCTTGTTACAACTTGTAATAAAGTTGTTACATCTTGGCTTAACGTGTTTATGACGTATTAGAACGTTGTTACAACTTGCTATATTGGTTGTTATAACTGGTTAGGTGTTAAAACTTGTTCGAACGTTGTACCAATGTCGTAGTTTGGGTGTGTGTTTGGCGGGATCTGACTTGTAAGAGGAGAGGTGTGTAGGTCCCCAGTGGACGCACCAGCACCTGAGGCAGGGCACTCACTGCCAGCACCGGGACACTTGCCTGTGTTGGCGTCCACAGTGAAGACTGGCAGTGTGGGTGCCACCATTCCTTCCCCAGACTGTTGCATCAATGCCAGGCAGCTTACCCTCACTCTTCATCTCGTAAGCCAATTTTAGAACGGAACTTCCCTGGAATACATCCTTGAGCGGTAGCAAGCGCTCGACGTGAAGTACCTGCCTCAGAGGTCAGTGTTTACGGTCAGGTCAACAAAGACTTTCTGACCAAATTTCTGTTCGCTTGTAAACATTTATAAAGAGAACACTACGGGAGTGAACGTTTGTCAAGATCACGTACCAGGCACGGAGGCCAGGGGCCCCGGTACCAGACACGGAGGCCAGGGGGCCCCGGTACCAGACACGGAGGCCAGGGGCCCCCGGTACCAGACATGAAGGCCAGGGGCCCCGGTACCAGACACGGATCAGAGCCACAACCTTCCCCTCTCGCGGGTTTTTCTCCAATAGCTGAGCCCGCCCCGGCGCCCGGCCGGCCGAGCCCCGCCTGGTGCGCATGCGCCCCTCGCCCACACCAACACCTGTTGATCCGTTGTTTACACTAAACACCTGTTGTTCAGTGCTTCTGTTAGCCCTCAGAACACACAGGTGGATACACTGGACACATATTTATGCATACGAGGTGTTGTTCTCTCGTTATATTTGCTCTCTTAACTTTATTTTGAAGTTTCTCATAAGGATTTTTTTATCCAAATTTGTTTGGTATTGTTTTTCCCTGAACACTACTGCCCTCCTGCCTCAGGCTGCCCTCCTGCCTCTAGCTGCCCTCCTGCCTCAGGCTGCCCTCCTGCCTCTAGCTGCCCTCCTGCCTCAGGCTGCCCTCCTGCCTCTAGCTGCCCTCCTGCCTCAGGCTGCCCTCCTGCCTCTAGCTGCCCTCCTGCCTCAGGCTGCCCTCCTGCCTCTAGCTGCCCTCCTGCCTCAGGCTGCCCTCCTGCCTCTAGCTGCCCTCCTGCCTCTAGCTGCCCTCCTGCCTCAGGCTGCCCTCCTGCCTCTAGCTGCCCTCCTGCCTCAGGCTGCCCTCCTGCCTCTAGCTGCCCTCCTGCCTCTAGCTGCCCTCCTGCCTCTGGCTGCCCTCCTGCCTCTAGCTGCCCTCCTGCCTCTAGCTGCCCTCCTGCCTCAGGCTGCCCTCCTGCCTCTAGCTGCCCTCCTGCCTCAGGCTGCCCTCCTGCCTCTAGCTGCCCTCCTGCCTCAGGCTGCCCTCCTGCCTCAGGCTGCCCTCCTGCCTCTAGCTGCCCTCCTGCCTCAGGCTGCCCTCCTGCCTCTAGCTGCCCTCCTGCCTCAGGCTGCCCTCCTGCCTCTAGCTGCCCTCCTGCCTCAGGCTGCCCTCCTGCCTCTAGCTGCCCTCCTGCCTCAGGCTGCCCTCCTGCCTCTAGCTGCCCTCCTGCCTCAGGCTGCCCTCCTGCCTCAGGCTGCCCTCCTGCCTCTAGCTGCCCTCCTGCCTCAGGCTGCCCTCCTGCCTCTAGCTGCCCTCCTGCCTCAGGCTGCCCTCCTGCCTCTAGCTGCCCTCCTGCCTCAGGCTGGGTTAACACACCGGCCGCGGGAACACAGGTATCCGGTGGCCGGTTAATTCGTTGGTCTTGAAGGTAATCTTTCCCTTACAGGGAATCTTCCGCCCGTCTTCCCTCACTTGTTTTGGCTTAAAGATGGCTACCAAAATGGTGTTTAATCACGCTCTGAGACCTCTAATGTTGCTGTTTTTCTCTCTCTGTCTCTCCAAGTAAGGAGGAGGAGGTTGGGAGGGAAGGGGGCGGTTAACCACAATCTTGGTTATCCAAGATTGTGGTTAGTTAATACCAGAACGTTGCTGTTAGTTCCATACCGGAGGTTAGCAAGTATAAACAAATAAATCCACAAGGGCCGTGATGAGAGTTCGAACCTACGCACGGGATGTTCCCAGCTGCGCCTTAGTCAACTGGAACACGAAAGAGGATATGCCCATCTGGGACAGTCTGTGTGTAGGTTCGAATCCTCATCACTTGTGGATTTGTTAATTTGATATATTGCACTGTTGTGATGTGTGTATTTAGTTGTGGGTTGTGGGTGGTGGAGTGGTTGTGGGTGGTGGAGTGGTTGTGGGTGGTGGAGTGGTTGTGGGTGGTGGAGTGGTTGTGGGTGATGGAGTGGTTGTGGGTGGTGGAGTGGTTGTGGGTGGTGGAGTGGTTGTGGGTGATGGAAGGGTGGACGCGACGCCTGAGGGCGCGGACGAAGTGGACCAAATCTCCCGCCACAAACACAGTGTCCCGCCAACCACCGTCGTGAGGGGATGTGCGCCTCTCTGCCCTCCCAGCCTCGCTCCAGCTCGCTCTCTCAACTTGCCACAACGTACAAAACATGAAGTGCTAACCTAACCAGAAACGCACGAACCCCAACAACCCACCTAACTCGATGTATACAATTCGTGGATATCAGTGAATCGCAACTTCTCGTAGTTGAACCTGAGAGGACGAGCCCCGTCTGAGGAGAGACCTGCTATGAGACCAGTCCGGCCTCCTAAGGTTTTCCAACGTCAAGAAAATGATCATTTTAAAGTGTCCTCTCCTAACCTACCAGAGGACCCAAAACAGAAAACGGGACATTAGGTCACTTTCGCCAGCCTCTTCCATTTTCTAGTGCGACAATTTCTGGCCTTAGTGCGCATACGTCGAAAAAGATAACCACTAACATAGACCACTGAAGGATGACCACTAACATAGACCATGGAAGGATGACCACTAACATAGACCATGGAAGGATGACCACTAACAGAGACCATGGAAGGATGACCACTAACATAGACCATGGAAGGATGACCACTAACATAGACCATGGAAGGATGACCACTAACATAGACCATGGAAGGATGACCACTAACATAGACCATGGAAGGATGACCACTAACATAGACCATGGAAGGATGACCACTAATATAGACCATGGAAGGATGGCCACTAACAGAGACCATGGAAGGATGGCCACTAACATAGACCATGGAAGGATGACCACTAATATAGACCATGGAAGGATGACCACTAACACAGACCATGGAAGGATGACCACTAACATAGACCACTGAAGGATGACCACTAACATAGACCACTGAAGGATGACCACTAACATAGACCACTGAAGGATGACCACTAACATAGACCACTGAAGGATGACCACTAACATAGACCACTGAAGGATGACCACTAACATAGACCACTGAAGGATGACCACTAACAGAGACCACTGAAGGATGACCACTAACATAGAACACTGAAGGATGACCACTAACATAGACCACTGAAGGATGACCACTAACAGAGACCACTGAAGGATGACCACTAACATAGAACACTGAAGGATGACCACTAACATAGAACACTGAAGGATGACCACTAACATAGAACACTGAAGGATGACCACTAACATAGACCATGGAAGGATGACCACTAACATAGACCATGGAAGGATGACCACTAACATAGACCATGGAAGGATGGCCACTAACATAGACCATGGAAGGATGGCCACTAACACAGACCATGGAAGGATGGCCACTAACAGAGACCATGGAAGGATGACCACTAACAGAGACCATGGAAGGATGACCACTAACATAGACCATGGAAGGATGACCACTAACATAGACCATGGAAGGATGACCACTAATATAGACCATGGAAGGATGGCCACTAACAGAGACCATGGAAGGATGGTCACTAACAGAGACCATGGAAGGATGGCCACTAACAGAGACCATGGAAGGATGACCACTAACATAGACCATGGAAGGATGACCACTAACATAGACCATGGAAGGATGACCACTAACACAGACCATGGAAGGATGACCACTAACATAGACCACTGAAGGATGACCACTAACATAGACCATGGAAGGATGACCACTAACAGAGACCACTGAAGGATGACCACTAACATAGACCACTGAAGGATGACCACTAACAGAGATCATGGAAGGATGGCCACTAACAGAGACCATGGAAGGATGGCCACTAACATAGACCACTGAAGGATGACCACTAACATAGACCACTGAAGGATGACCACTAACATAGACCACTGAAGGATGACCACTAACATAGACCACTGAAGGATGACCACTAACAGAGACCACTGAAGGATGACCACTAACATAGAACACTGAAGGATGACCACTAACATAGACCACTGAAGGATGACCACTAACAGAGACCACTGAAGGATGACCACTAACATAGAACACTGAAGGATGACCACTAACATAGAACACTAAAGGATGACCACTAACATAGACCACTGAAGGATGACCACTAACAGAGACCACTGAAGGATGACCACTAACATAGAACACTGAAGGATGACCACTAACATAGACCACTGAAGGATGACCACTAACATAGACCACTGAAGGATGACCACTAACAGAGACCACTGAAGGATGACCACTAACATAGAACACTGAAGGATGACCACTAACATAGACCACTGAAGGATGACCACTAACAGAGACCACTGAAGGATGACCACTAACAGAGACCACTGAAGGATGACCACTAACATAGACCACTGAAGGATGACCACTAACATAGACCACTGAAGGATGACCACTAACATAGATTATTTGAGTTCGGTCATAACAAAGTTGATCAATGTTCAAATTGTCAAATCTGAATTAAAAAAAAAATAGAGAAAAGTAAAAAAAATACATTCATAAATTTTCGGAATAAGTCAAATAATGTCCTGATATCCGTAAGTAGAAAGGTTGGCATTCAAACTCCAAATACTATAATTTAACATCACTTCAGCCCAGGTTAGGCCCTTTCTAGATTTTGTGCCGTTTCAGTTTTGATCTCCGCGTGCTGTAAATATGAACCTAAATTCAATTGAATAACAAATGAAAGCTTTACAAAACTTCAATTT